AAATGTTGAAAAGAACTCTTCAAATCCTGATTCTCTGTTATATGTATTGTAAAATCTTGTTTTTTACTTTATCATGAAACTCATTATTTATTTTCAGAAATTTATTTATTTTTAATATTATCAATAGTTATAGTACCAACAGTTATAAAATATATTTGCTTCATTTATATGATTTAAGAAGAAATTATGAGAACGAATTGCTTTAAAGTGATGATGAAATTATTGGTTCATGCTACAAAAATTCGTTGGAACAATACGTGCCGGGGATATTATTATTATTATTATTATTATTATTATTATTATTATTGCTGTTGTTGTTGTTGTTGTGTTTGATGATTATGATACTAATACACTTCATTGTTTTCTTAATCGTTAACTAATGCTTAATTCTTAATTTGCGTTTTTATTTACATGCTGATTATGATAATTATTATTTATAAAAACGATTCATTTTTTGTATCATAATATTATTTACGAAAAGCATTTCGCATTACAATCTATATAAAAAAACAAAATCAAAGGTTATTATTCAACATAATTTTTGACCTATACTTGCAATAAAATTGTTTATTTGCTGTTGATGGTCCATCATTGCATATATTTACAATTATACACGTATGCACTTTAGTCTACACGCAACTATGTCCTTTTGCTATCGTTTAGATATGGACAAGTTCTGGTTTGCAGTTATGCTTATATTTGTATTGATAGATGTATGCAACCTTCAAACAAAAGAAAACTAAATTATTTCATTCTTTTGTTTACATATTTAATAAAACCAAGATAATATTTAGCCAAGTAAAAAATCTTCAATCATTATTAAAATTTTCTCATATTTCTAATCGTCAAATAAATAATAAATCCTAAATTTATAAAATATTGATAGACTAGTAAAATATTTTTATAATTTTCAAACGTTTTTTTTTTTTTTTTTTGAGAAAAAAATGATAGATTACATATGTTTTCTGCCAAGAGAATTACAACAAAAAAATCAGCTTTTTTCGTTATCATAATTTTTAGTGATAGATTTTGTTTATGGATCGCACACAGGCATAAACGTATTCATCATTATATAATAGCCTAAATACGAACATAAATACACAATATATTCATCAAATATACGCATGAGATCACATTATGTATCCCTATGATTGTGCGCGCGTGCTTTTTTCTTCTTTGAAAACAAAGATGAAATATCGTAAACCACAATCATGAGTCTTAACCTACTCAAAATACATGTGCACAAATTTAAAGATACATGAAAAAATGAATATTTGTGCATATAATTAACTATTTGTTGAATAACGTTATATGTACGCAATATTCTTTGGTAGTACTCAATAGACAATACATTACTACCGATTTTTTCAAGCTGTATTTGATAATCTTATTGAATGTTCAATAAAATTTACATTCAGAAAAATGAAATATACGCATTCTATTTAATTCGTGTCATGTGTATACTCGATTGGGTGTAGGCAGACAGCATATCTCTAATAATTTAATATAAAATTAACTTTTTCTATTCATTTACAATTTAATGATTTTTAAAACAGCAAATTGTTAATAGTTTCGGTTGAAAACAGACGATTAGGACAGATTATCGTTGTTGTTCCGCTTGTGATACAATGTTGGAAAGGAAATAGCAAGAACTTCATAAGAATATTCCAGGACATATAAAATGAGATCTTATGCGATCTTACATATGTTTTCCATACACCTTCCTTTTTTAGTTAAACAACTAAGAAGACATTTTTTAAAAAGTGTTTGTTCATTTGGACCGTGCTTGGAAAATGGGTCACAAGCCGAGAACATTTACGGTATCCCCTCGTAATTCTTTCCTTCGGGATATTGTGTAGCGAGGTCATTTCTCCCCAAAATTTATTCCAAATGACTCTTCTGCACTGTAAAATGAAAGAGAGAGAGAGAGAAAGAGGAAATGAAAGAGAGACAGGGAAAGAGAACGTGATAAAGAATTTTTAGTATGAATTATATATACGCATGGAAATGTTTCCTTTTATTTTCCGAAAAATCCAGTTCATTATGATTATAATGATTATTGTTGTTACTGTTGTAGTTTGTGATTTATTCCATGATGTGACTTGTTAATGCCGCAATTTAAATAATGAAATGCCAATTTTTGACGGCAATATTAACCATTTCAAAAGCAAAAGATGAAGTAAAATTAAATGTCTCATAAATTGTATCTTCTATGCAATTTCTTCATTGTACCTAGATTATACACTAATATAATAAACATTTTTTAACTTTGTTAATATGTGAGAAGAATTTTAAGTTTTTAGGAAATGATTTAAACTTAAGGTCATATTTTAGAAGTTGCGTTCCAATCAATCTATCTGTTCCTATACTACAATAGTACAGATTAATTTATAAGTGACCAAGATACGCTTTCAACTACCAGTTATTAAAACAGAGAAAAAAAGCGAAAAATATGGTCGTATATTATTATTATTATTATTATTATTATTATTATTATTATTATTATTATTATTTCCTTGGGTTTTGGTAGTATACACATTTCGTCCGGGTCCCAACCAGAGACCTATAAAAAAAAAATTACACTCATTTTACATCGATAACTCTCTTTGTAATGTGTGAACTGAACATGTGATTACAATTTTTTGCATTTCTTTAAGGAATGGATTACCAAAAATGAGTCTATCGGAACATTTTCCAATCAATCCGAGGGCTCCAACTACAACTGAAATTATTGATATCCTTATGTGTCACCTATTTTCCAATTCAAAATCCTTGTATTTTGATAGTATTTTAAAAATCTTCAAAGGTACATTATAATCTGCAGGAACTGCCATGTCACTAAAAAAGTAAGGTCATTTTTTGTGATAATTGATCACACGATCTCTGGCCGATTAGCTTTGATTGTTCTGTCTCTATGTATTTTAAAGTCCCATAAAATTATAACAGTTTCTATCTCTCTAACTGGATCTGGGTAATATTCATACCAGTTTCTTTCACTTTCCTTCCCGTAAAAGTTCCATATTTTCCAGTGCAGATATTGGCCCACTCTATCATGCAGAGTTTTATATTCAGTTGGTTTTAACATTGTGCAACCTGATACAAGATGATCAATTGTTTATGATAATTTATCACAGAATCTGCATTTGAGGTCAACACAATTCTTTATTATTATTATTATTATTATCATCATCATCATTCGATTTCTGCTATGGACACACTACCTACCAAGTCTGCGGAAAGACCTAAGGCAGGTCGTGGTGTGTTGTTATGGCCACATTTCATGTTAATTTTTTTTTTTTTTTTTTTTTCTCCGATGAAGTTGCTAGCGTTACATAGACAAAGTTCTCCTTAGTGTGTGTGCTGTACTTAATAAGACAATTTTCTGTATGTCTCTTAAGCTGGGGTTTCCAGGGATTCTTTCAATGTGTTGTTTTGTTCCATTTTTTATAATTCCAAGTGCACCTATTACCACTGGTATTATTCTTGTTTTCAATTTCCACATTTTTTCTATTTCAATTTCCAGGTCTTTGTATTTTGATAGTTTTTCAAATTCCTTGGTTGCTATGTTACAATCCGCTGGACAAGCCATATCAATTAGTAGGCAAGTTTTTTCTTTCTGGTTTTTGACAATAATGTCCGGCCTATTTGCTTCAATTTTTCTGTCTGTGTGGATGGTATTATTATTATTATTATTATTATTATTATTATTATTATTATTATTATTATTATTTTACTTAAATATGTACATATATCTGATCGTGTAATGTCACTTGTCTCATGAAAACCTCTTTTACATATAGTTTATATTTTCAATGTGAGTGCCTAAATTCCCAGGCACTAATGTGCATAATTATGTTTATGAAAATGTGCATTAAAATGTTTATTTCTCTTAACACACAAATTTGATAATATAGATCCATGCAATATTCGGAAATTTATCGTTTAAAAAACTTAAACTACATCCAATCATATAAAATAAAATTCTTTTTTTCCATTTATTCATTCAATTTCATTTTACTTCTGTCTGTTCTATTATACTCTCAATATCATATAAGGTTTGCCATTCTCGTTGCCATTAAAATCTGGTTTAGCAATAATGTACTCGGAGAAGGGGGGGGGTAAAATATTAAGTGAGTTTTTAACGTTATTCATTGAAATGCGAAGTGCATCTGTTGAGTGTCAGTCCGTAGATCTCTCCGTTAAAAGTTTTAGTACGCTTGAGAGCATCCACTGAAAGTAATACTTAATTTTGTTATCTGCAAAATCGATCTATCCTCTATTTATGATATTAAAGATTGAATGAATACAAGAGATGATGATAAAAAGAAAACTTCAGTAAACATAATTCTTGATAAAAGAGGAAGATATAATGAAAGATGGCCGTTGGGGATAGTGTGTTAGGTATACAGGAAAATGAAAAATTTAACAATAGGATTATTTTTAAATTGGTGTGGTGATACAAACATTTACTTTAAATACAAGCTATTTATTTTAATTCAATTTCAAACTCTCTGGTATTTCTGACCAAAAACCCATGCAATAACATCAGCCATTACGTTAGATCAAAAAATTTCAATACGTAAATCTTACAAACCTGCACTTGTATGTCTTTATATATATATATATATATATATATATATAGATAGATAGATAGATAGATAGATAGATAGAGAGAGAGAGAGAGAGATCTGTATGTGTTTATGTGCTGATGATCGCTTAATGTGTGAAGCTGACAGTCAACATGCAGTTTTGATTTCTCTGCACACAATGTTTATATCTTAGATAATTGAATGATGAAGTGGAAAAATTTTATGTAACTAGTTTCGTCATCTAAAAGGACAAACGCGTTACATAATTCTTTTTCCACTTTGTCATTCATTTGGCTAACATTTTTTGATATATGGAAATTTATATATTATATTCACCCATTGTTTATATTTAAAAACGCTCTATTCCCGAAATTGAACACTCTTTCCTCATAAATGTAGTAAATCTTAAACAATATAATGATAGATAGATAGATAGATAGATAGATAGATAGATAGATAGATAGATAGACAGAGAGAGACGGAGAAAGGCAGAGGGAAAAGTAGAGGAAGATGAAAGAGAAATTATACATGAAAAATCTTTACTTATGCTTGAATACACGAAAGTGTATTATTTGTATTCAAACAAAGAACTTTATATGAACTGTCTTACCTGAAGATGTTATTGAGGTTATAAAACTCCTGATATACACAATTAATTTTTCTTCTTGGTCTGAAGAAGTTAACATTGATCGTATATATTAACACCATCATTATTATCCTCATTATAAACTAAAAAATCAACCTTAAATCTTATATTCAGTTTTATTATTGCTATTAGATTTCAATGAATACGTTCTTCACATATTCATTCGGGTTTTAGAAAGAAACTTTAAGCAAACAAATATGCTGTTAGCGAGTGATTACAATGATATCTGAACAAGACTAACTTGCTCACGTATTTATAACCAATTATACTAATAATCACATTTTTATGAATTTTTTATTCGTCCTTCAGGATTAATCAGGTTATTATCTTATATATGGAAATGATTTGCCATTTTATGCTTTCATTGTTGCATTTATGACATCATTTCCATATGAAACTTCTCCACTGTGCAACAATTTATTTAAAATTGGAAGATCATTGATATGGCGGTATCACAATCAAAAAGTGACCGTCCGCGAAAAATAACTGCAAGAGCAAGCCTTTAAAAGGAATAAAACAAATATGGTCTTGAGAACAACAACAGACAATGAAGTTTTATCTTAATCCCTATATAAGAATCTAACACTTTACATCCCAGTACAGGAAAGAATCAAAAGAATAACCCCTTAAAAAATTACAGGCACAATGTGTCATCCTTTCTTTAATTTGTTCTAAGGGTTAGGAATTAGATTCATGTTTGTTTCATCTTCTTTGATCAAAGCTTGAATCCAGAGAGAGAGAGAGAGAGAGAGAAAGAGAGAGAGAGAGAAAGAGATATAAAGAATATGACTTCTCTGTTTACTTCTGCGGTCACTTACTTTAGACAACATTTTAGCTTCACTTAGCTGTGGAAACGAATCCATGTAAATTCTGACGGAACTTTTATACACGGCTTGCCCGTAATTCAGATCAATTCCTGTAATTATGATGAGAAAAATCAGATAAAGTTGTGCTTGTTTTGCTCTCACAGTAAAAGAAATATTGGTATTAAATTTCACATTATTCATGGGACATACGAAATAATGTTTAACATGTTTAGTGTCGAATTTATTTTTATCATTCAAAGTGTAAGTCTTGATATGTCTTTCAAAACCGAAACAGTCAGCTCAGGAAGTTACCCGTGACGAGGAATTTTCAGTCAACACCGTAGAAACAAGCCACCTATGAAGTTATGCAAACCTTAAAGAGCAAAACTCTAACAAGTTAAAATATCTTAAATATGGCATCTGCAATATTTCTTAGAAGAAATTTACACTATTATTTGCACTATTTACATTGTTTGGACTGTTGTCCTCATCTTTTGTTGCCATATTTATGACATTCTTCAGGTGATTAGAATTTCGGACTGAACCCTTTATTTCATCCACCGGAGTAGATTATTCTAACTCTACGTTCCATGCCTCTTCCAGATGCCCTCAGTTATCTCCCTTTAACTCAACTCTCCAAGTTTTTGTTCACCACTGCAGTAGCCAGGTATTGAACTCACAACTCTTTATAAAGTCAATATATATATATATATATATATATATATATATATATATATATATATATATATATATATATATATATATATATATTGTAATATCGAAGGAAATGTGAATTATCATAAAACAGTTACTAAGTCTTTAGGTGTAAATAACAGAATGAAAATTTAATTCGATAATATCAGACATACGTCTCCTACTTACTGGGCAAGTGTGTAATTCTGCCGGATTTTCTTTTTCCGTCACACCACACATAATATAATAATAATAATAATAATAATAATAATAATAATAATATATATATATATATATATATATATATATATATATATATATATATATATATATAATCATTTTACTCCAAGCAAGTTGGGAGTGTCACTAGTACGCAGGGGGCTACAGAGATTGAAAGTAGGATAAAAGAGTTGAGTATAAGGAGAATTGCTGAAAGGATAAAATGAACAGAGATCAAAGCATCAGAAGTTGCATTTAAATTTATGAAGATTGTATCAGGAAAACAAGTAAGAGGAAGAGGGTTCCACTGCCGGGAAGTGCGAGAAAAGAAGTTGTTGGAGTAGAAATGGAGGTTACATTTAATTGTTTCAACAGTAGACGTGTGGGGCCCAGATGCCAACCTAGTAGCACGATTAAATTCATGTAGTCGGGGTACCAGTTTGTCAGAGCAGTTGTCATGAAAATATTAGTAAAAAAGACAGAGGGAAGCCACATCACGTCTATGAGAAAGTGATTGGAGTCGAGATGCCAGGTCAGGACCGACTACAATGCAGATCCTTCTTTGGATTTTGTCGAGGAGATCGTGATAGACAACGGGGGTACTAGACCATATATGGCACCAGATCATATATGGTATTCAGTGCATGGACGAATAGTAGATTTGCAGATGTGTAGGATGGAGTTAGATGAGAAAAAACCGTCTGGTACAACACAGAGAACAAATTTTTTTTTGCGATAGATGCATTTCAATATAGTTGTTCGCCATAAGTCAGTGAAAAACGTGAGGCCAAGAAGGCGCAGTGAAATTTTACACACATATATATATATATATATATATATATATATATATATATATATATATGTGTGTGTGTGTGTGTGTGTGTGTGAGAGAGAGAGAAAGGTAGAGAGAGTGTTAGAGAGAGAGAGAGTTAGAGAGAGAGATTCAGGATGGATAAATGTAACAAATGAAAATTTTCTGATGCTTCCCTTCTGAAAATTTAATCATTTGACAATTTTCGTGCATGTGTGTGTATGTGTGTCTGTGAGCGCGTGTGTGTGTTTCATGTATTTACGTGTCTTTATGAGTATGTTTGTATACGTTTATTTCTATGCGTTCATGGGCTTATCTGAGGGTGAGTAGAATCAAATATCTTTAAAGAGCTTTTTGCTACATCTGTTATTATACATTGACAATAGAGAATTATACATGTACTAAAAATAAACTACATAGAAAATTGTATGATAGCTTTTCAGCTAAATATACGGGCGATGTTAGGAGTGTATTTTTGGTATACAATTCTTGCTTAATCCGGAAGCATTTTTATTTTAAAATGTTATGTGAATTATACAGCCTGTTGGAACGAGATTCACAAAAGACAATGAAATAGCAACCGCGGAAGCCTAAAAGCCTAGCAATTCGTCCCTTTAAAATTATATAGAGAAAATTATCGTTCGAATGTATAAAGTCGATATATATATATATATATATATATATATATATATATATATATATATATATATATATATATATATTGGGAAATCTATGACAAATTGGAAAATAGATAGATAGATAGATAGATAGATAGATAGATAGATAGATAGATAGATAGATAGAAAACATACATACGGAGTAGTCAAAATCTAATGTTTGGATATATGGTTATATTTTTGGAAGTATATATTTAAGTATAAATTTTAAATTTTTGAAAGTATATATTTAAGTATAAATTTATATATATATATATATATTGGAAAATCTATGACAAATTGGAAAAATAGATAGATAGATAGATAGATAGATAGACAGACATACATACGGGGTAGTCAAAATCTGATGTTTGGATATATGGTTATATTTTTGGAAGTATATATTTAAGTATAATTTTAAAATTTTTGAAAGTATATATTTAAGTATAAATTTACTAATGTTTACTTTTTTAATCTTCAAATATTCGCTTGAAAATGAAACAGAACTAGGGACTTTAATTAAACTCTATAACTGAATTTTAAGTTTTTAGCTTCTGTTTTTGAAACATGGTAATTCCTGTGTGGTGATGGAAACATTTTTAAATTAGTAAATTTATAATATTCATGCGCTGTAGATATGCATTGATCACTGTTTTGTAAAAATAAAAATATTAATAAGAACACCAGATTATATATCTTACTGTTCTTTTTGCTTATTATATATATATATATATGTGTGTGTGTGTGTGTGTGTGTGTGTGTGTGTGTGTGTGTGTGTGTGTGTGTGTGAAAATATATAGAAAATAGGAAAGGACTCGTAGGTAAATAATCCAAAGTTCTTCAGTATTTTTAGGATGTACATACAAGTTTGTATGTACACCCTAAGTCAAACCACCCTCCATCCATAATTAAGCATATACCCTCATCAATAGAGAAAAGAATCAGCATTAACTCCACTAATAAAGAAATATTCCAACAACACAGTAATTTTTATAACGCAGCCTTAAAAAATAGCAGATACAAAAATTCTAACATCAATTATAGAAACAATTGTACTAACCCGAAGAAAAACAGAAAAAGAAAAATCATTTGATATTCTCCTCCGTTCAACTAAATGGTTGGTATTAAGCTAGGACAAAAATTCCTAGCCTTAATTGAAAAACACTTTCCTACAAATAGCAGACTTAGTAAAATTGAGTTACAGTTGCACTGAAAATCTAAAAAGTATAATAAAAAAAAACACAACACTGCCCATTGAAAAATACATGTCGCGTAAAATCTGTGGTATACCAATGTACTATCTCATCCACTGAGAGTCTTAACACTAATATGATATACATTGGGTCTACGAAGACTGAATTTAAAACCAGGTGGAGACAGAATAAAAGCTCACTCAACAATATTAATAACAGAAATCAGACATCTCTATCTAAATATTTTTAGCATTTGAAGGAAATGAATAAAAACATCAAAAGTAAAATGGAAAATTATAAACAAAACTAGAACTTGTAAAACTTTGGATGACCCATGCCCTTTATGCCTACATGAAAAACTACACATTATCAAGTTTCTAAATAATGAAAATTTATTAAACAATAGACACGAGTTAACATTTTTTGCCGACATCATCAAATTTTCACATTAAATAATTAGCATAAAAAACAAATAATTAAATAATAAATACAAATTTTAAACTCCATAGTCTAAATAAAAAGTTTAAAAGCCCTACCCAATAAAAAAAAACCTTTAAGAAGTCGTCAAAAAAACAAATGTTAGCTAATTATGACAGATTTATATACACAAAACCCTTTCAAGAAAAAAAATAAAATAAATAAATAAATCTCCATAGACATTTAACGTTTAACCAGACTAGACGATGTCATCTTCCGCTTTAAATTTTGACACCCCAACCTTACCCTGACTTGACCTCTTTGAATGGAACTGACATATTGATACAAATTATTCACCCTTACGCCCTCTTTTTTTTTTTAAAATAATTGCTCGAGACGTTACCATAATAATTTTAATTTTAATAATGAATATGCTTATAAAAACGCGTAAATTTCAAGAATTAGTTATTCCAAAAATTTCGTTGAAGATGGAACAGAGCTTGGTACTTTAATTCAATTTAATTCAAATAATTATATGAAGATTTCGGCTCTTATTTTGAAACATGAGAACTCTTATGTAGCGAAGGAATCATATTTTTAAATAAATAATTATATATATATATATATATATATATATATATATATATAAGTGAACATGGATGTCAACGCTCAGAGGCGACAGTCTGCTTTATGTTAAACGCAATCATCAGGCAAAGTGCGTTGTGTTTTTCTCAGCTATTTATATATACAGGTCAGTGATGTATCGTGCGTAGTCTATTGCATTGTAGGTAATCTATTGTATTATTCTAACGGTTAATTTGGTGGACGTTAACGTTTTCGAACAATTCTGAGGTCTATTGAATGGGGGAAATATTGGATTCGAATATAGTTTACAGTTGTACCGAGAACATGACCAAAATAACAAAAAAGCACAACAGGAAAACAATCAACAAACCACATGAGCAAATTAAACTCATGTGTATCTGCAGAATAAAGAACGAATGTCTCTTAAACAGCAATTGCTTGCAGATCAATCTAATATACGAATCCACTGTAAAATCATCAGATAATGAAGAAAAAATATACATAGGTATAACTGAAGTCTCTTGGAAAACAAAGAAACTACGCACACAAAACATCCTTTACAAATAGTAAATACGCGAACAGCAATATACTTTCTAAACATATCTGGAAGATTAAAAACAAACACACAAAAAATATCATGGAAAATAAAAAAAGACTATCAACCTACAACAATGAATCCAAAAACTGTAAAGTCTGCCTGGAAGAAAAATGCCTATAATTACCTTCCCAAACAACTACTAAATAAGCGATCAGTACTCACCTCAAAATGCAGACACAAAAATAAATTTTTACTACGTCACTTAAAAATGAAAACGAACAGGAATAAATGAAAATAAATAAATAAAATAAATAAACAAAACAAGTAAAATAAATTAATCATAAACATATAAGTAAATAATGAAAAAATTAACCACGTAGGCACAAATAAACACAAGAAAACGCAACAATAACAACGAAAAATAAAATAATCGGCAATAAATAAACAAAAGTTAACTAACAACACTATAAATATCCAAAAACTACATTCGAATCTACTATTGTTCCTGAAGAATAATTTGAAACCATTAACACTCACCAAAATAACCGTTAGAACAATACGATAGACAACCCACAATGCAATAGACTACCCACAATCCATCAATGACTTGTATATATAAATAGTCGCGCACAAACACAGCGCACATGGCCTGAGGATTGCATTTAGCATTAAACAGACTGTCGCCTCTGGATTTTGACTTCAATGTCCACTTTTATATTTACATAATCTCTATCCCCTGATATTGAGTACTTTAACCCATAAATATCGTATAGCTTAAATATATATATATATAATATATATATATATATATATATATATATATATATATATATATATATTAAGAAATGGACAAGGTCCGACAATTTATTTATTAAAGACATATTTTTATGTTTTATATATATATATATAGTATGTGTGTGTGTGAGGGAGAGAGAGAGAGAGAGAGTAAAGTGAAAAAGAAACATGGCGACAGAGATAGAAAGAAGAAAAATCATTAACAGGGAATTCGTTAAATATACAGTAAGTGGAAAACATCTATATATATGTTAATGCACTTTTGTTTGTGCATGCAGGAGTTATAAGTGTGTGTGTGTGTGTGTGTGTGTGTGTGTGTGTGTGTGTGTGTGTGTGTGTGTGTGTGTGTGTGTGTGTGGGTGTGTGTGTGTGTGTGTGCGCGTGGGGGGGGTGTTTTACTCGCGCTCGCGCTTTTGGTCGAAAATATATCTTTATCCGAAAAGTAAAAATTCTCGGAAGAAAATCTTGATCAATGCAACCTATGCTTTACTTTTAACATTGCGAAAATATCAAATTGAACAATGGTGATCCCAACGCAAAGATTCAAATATCTAAAACTCATTTTTTAATATGAACTCCAACTATAAAAATATTGATTCTGTGATAATGAAGAAAGTGAGAAGCGTTATTTAAATGTCAACATTATACGTCTACCACCATTTTTTCCAAGTATACAGTATGCAAGTAACGAGTACGCAGTGACCTTAGTTAAGCACTTCGAATATGAGTAAATAAGTGACATAAAACATTAACTCATTGCCAGTTAATATTTTGTTGTGTTTTTTTTTGTTTTATTTTTTTGCATTTACTTTGTTCTTACAAACTTACAAGTTTCCAATGTCCATAATTTACTATTTTTACTTCCATCAGAAAAACTATGGAAGATAATGTTGTTGAGTCTCTTTTAAAACTGTCACCAATTCTATACTTTCTGTTGTGTACTTTTTGCATTAGTCTCAACTTAACTTTATAAAATATAGAAAAATAAAAGAAGTGACGTTCAATCTTTTTTTTTCTATTTTTAAACGAAATAGTTGTGAAAAATTTACTGACAGTATTCTGCGTTCCAATATCTTAAAATAGCAATGAAATTAATGCACTATCATTAATATAATATTGTATGCATGGGGAATTGCATAATGATAATATCCTATAATTTTTACTTTTACCATTATTGAATAGACACACAGAAAATTAAGATATATTCGGTAGTGTATGAAAAAGGGATGCAAAAGTAATTAATTTCAATTTGTATTTAAACATCCATCTGACAGATTTGTCCAATCAGAATTAAGAACAATGTTTTTAAACACGCATATTCAACAAAATTTTGATGTGTATATGTACGCAAAAAAGGTTTAACACAAAAAAAATACTTTAAAAAAAAAACGGTTATTTATATACATATAAATTTAGTAACTTCCCTTTACTTTTTCACTTAATGATCTAAAATCTTGGAATTGAAAAATACAATTCCAACATACACAGACGAAATCCAAAAAGAAGTCTATCTCTGATGTTTTCTTCTTCTTCTCATTCACTCTTTCTCTCTCTGTCCCCATTTTTCTCTATATTTCACTCTCTCATTTTTATTATTAATTCCAACATGTGTCTTTAAAATCAATGGTTTTATTTTCCCTATTTCTGAATTAATCGCCTTGTTATCACAGGTTTCTGATCCACTGGATCAATGGCTAGACTTCAAATCCATCCAGTCACCATTTTGAATATTCCAAGATCGGAAAATTGGTATTTCCCATCTTTTAGTTATTACAATGACGAATTCAATAAATACATAAAAATAGAAAGGAAAGTAAGAC